ATGCTGCTTCCATCATGCACCGGCCGGGCCGCAGGAAGGACGCGCCGCGGCCCCGGCACTCACGGCCCAACTTCAGCAACTTCCCCAGCCCGGCCCCCGCCAAAACACGGCACCGGGACGGCCGGAGCCGGAGCCGCACACGGCTGCGGGCAGCCGCCAGCAAAACCGGGCGCCGGAACCCGCTCAAGGCAGCTGCAACGAAAACCCGGAGCTGGAGTTGTTGGCCCGATCTGGGGGCAGCATCCCAGCTCCAAGCCCTCCCCTTACCTTCCGCGGTGGCCCTGCGGCTGCTGGACGTGCTTCAAGCATTTTGAACGGTCGGTCCTCCAGTTCAGTCATGACACAGGTGGGGGAGGTCCCAAAACTGGAGGTGCATCAGGCCTGGGCTCGGTTACAGCAGAACTGGGCAGAGGGCCCAGGAGGAAGCAGAGCTGAGCCCCGCGGGATGTGCTGACCCGACACATCCTCTCCTGGCTCAGCAGCAGTGAGGGGCTGCCCTGGGCTCGGCCTCTTGCCTCTCTCCCCTCACAGGAAATTATACGCCCGTGCAGGCAACTGCTGGTTGTATACATCCTTCTCCCTGGCAGACTGTGCCCAGTGCAACAGTACGGGGAACAGGGGGTCTCCCGGGGAGGGGAAGCAGAAGGAAGGGGACAAGCAACCCTCATGACAGGAGAAACCTTGAGATGACACAAGCGGCAAGAGAAAGAGGAGCAAGCTGGAATGGGAAGTCAGCTGCACCACATTCTCCTAACCGATTAGAAACAACTGTGTGCAAACTGGCTGAAAGTTATATTTGTGTCATATATTTTCCTGCTCTTTCTCCCACTTAGGGCTCCAGCTTCACCCAGGGAAACTCCCTCTGCCACCCAGTGAGCCAGGGAACAGAAAAGCACAGACTGCTCCTTCTGTACCTGCTCACTCCCACACCCTGGCTATTTCAACTACTATTCTGAGCTCTTTGCACTACCACAGCGTGCATCGATCACCAAGGGTGGCAGGAAAAAACATTCCTATTTTTTGACTTTACCCCAAGATGGATTAGGCACAAATTTAAACTTGAAATACACATATGGACCAAAAAGTGGAAACTACCTGGAATCATACTTGATTATTGGAAAGGTGTCACAATGTGCTTTGTTCTCTTTCTCTGTTCTTAATTCTCTACCACTCTGCATTTTTTTTTTGTGCTCTTCAGCTCAGTTTCATGCTTGTGCTAATGCTCATGCCCCACCTCTGCATCCTGTCATTCCTCAGCTGGCAGTCATTCTGAGCTGCTATTTCTCATCATCTGTCATGAAACACGTGGGATCCCTCCTTCCTACCTATTCTCTAATAAAGGTTTTATAGAGGGTCTGGCTTTACTGACCTGTTTCTCAGTCATTGTTTCAGCAAGGAAAAGAAGATATGGAGGGGAAGATTAAAGAAGCAAACAGAATAGAGATAAAAATATTCACACCATACACATACTCAGTGTCACACCTCTAGTTCACCTCACACTCATTTCCTCCAAAGTAAAATCCCTAGAAAATAGCACAGGATGTTGTATTTCTAGGCTTATTTTTAAAAATTTGATTAAAATTGGAATACTATCCCACAGTAATTAATACCTGGAAATGAAACCAAAAGTTTGTAAAACTACAGCTGTGTCTCCTGGGGACAGCAGCATTTGAGCCTGTTAGTATTTGGAAGGGGGCTCCTCAGTAGAGATTTGGAGGGGCTGGGTTTCCATTAGCTGCCATGATCAATGCCCTTTGCTCTGTCAATTTTTTTCTCCTTCTCTCAGTCTCCTCTCTCCAGGCGAGGAGAACAGCTAAGGCTTGGCAGCACACTGGTGGCCTCTCGGGAGAGAGGTTACACCCAGGCTGATGTCTTCTCATTGCAAATAGAAGGAGAATGCAAAACAGGATAATGGGACCTGGCTCTGGAGTTAGAGGCTTGATGTTGAGAGCTGTTGTGAGCGGAATTTTGTGGGCAGGCTCTCTGACTCAGCAGATGTGTTCTTGTTGGTGTTCCCTTTCTCTCTGCTGGGTGTTGAATCAAGTGTTTCCCATCTAGTCCAGCACTAGGCCCACAGCTGCAGTGAGGCTATTGAAATAAGGGTGTTGAGTCAAAGAACACCAGGGACTCGCACAGGTACTCACCTCTCTCCACAGACCCCTTCATGCCGGGCAGCCTCACCCAGAGGACTATTAAATGTGCTGTCCAGTAGGTATGGCTGCTCTGGCTGAATCACAAAATCATTCAGGTTGGAAAAGACCCTTGGGATCATCGAGTCCAACCATCAGCCCTACTCTACAAAGTTCTCCCCTACACCATATCCCTCAACATCTCATCTAAATGACCCTTAAAGACATCCAAGGATGGTGGCTCCACCACCTCTCTGGGCAGCCTATTCCACTGCCTGACCACTCTTTATGTGAAATGTTTTTTCCTAATGTCCAGTCTGAAACCTGCCCTGTTGCAGTTTAAAGCCGTTCCCTCTTGTTCTGCCCCTGAGGGCCTGACCTTTCTGAAGCTTCTGGATTAGAAAATCAGCACAACAAAACCCACCATTTTGCTCCCTCAAACAGCAAGGTGCAGTCTGCTGATCCGGAGAACCTTTTCTTACTGCTGTTGAGCTCTCTGAAGCAGCAGCACACTACGAGCTGCACTTGCTACTCAGAAACTAGCAGGCAGAGCAAGGTACGCAATTACGCACCTTCACCCCTGGCCATGCATTGAGCATGCCTGGCTCCTCTGAGAGGTGGATGGACTTTGAAAACACATGGCCATTGTGCATGACCATTCTGTCCGCAACCAGAGTGCAAGAATCGCTCAAGGTAACCACTGTGGCCTCTGCAAATTAAAATAATGAGTTCTATTCAATCAACGCTGAACTGGTGTGGTCATGTAGATCTTTGCTGTTGTTGAGAGTTCTGTGCCTCCCATAGATGAACATTGTCCTGGATGCCTCCAACCACCTGAGTTAAAAGAACTAACTAGTTCACAGCCTCAGACATCTCTATAATAAATACAAGAGCACTCATCAGCCTGCTGACAGTGAATTGTTCTGCAGATTTGTATGAATCTAGAATGACAGCTCCCAGAAGGAAATAGCTATCATCTTCTAAGCTGAATTGAAATGTTGTCTCCTGTCACAGGGTCATAAAACTGGAGTTCATACTTTCTGTCAAGAGAAAAATTAGGGCTACTAATATTTACCCAAAACAGTTAGCAGGTTTGCAAAACAGTGCCTTCTTAGCCATGAGCAGCTCATTAGAGCTTGGCTAGGGTGGAAGAGCTCCTGAACTGGAACTGGGGAAATTACTAAATGTAGCTCTCCCCTTACATGCTCTCCAGTGGAAACCAGACAAGTTTTTCTGTCCCTCCCTTTGCTGACCCCATGCATCTCGGCATTTTGCAATATCTCCTGTAATGAGAATTGTGTAGAAGTTGAAGGGGTGGTGAGATTGTGTGTTGGGTTATTGGGAAAGCTTATTAAGAACATAAGAAAGTCAAAAGATCAATGAACTAGATAAAAACTTAACAGTTTCATTTTATATCTTCTCACATTCAACGTGAATCTGTATGTCTATCTGTAATCTGCTCTGTAATAACAGTTATCTGTTGATCTATTTGTCGTAAGACCCTCTAGTACAGGACACACTTGATACCAAATGGACATGCAGAACTGTATTAGCATGCTATTATTTGTAAGTATAATAGGATTTTCTATGATTCTAAGTACTGACATTTTGGCAAATGGCTACCAGATCTCAGTGTTCTTTACTGTTTCTTTAAAAGTACAATGCACAAAGTTAAGTCTGTACAGGACAAACAAGTGGGTAATAGTAAATCAAAACCAGCCAAATGGTTTGTGAAGAATGGGGCTTGTACCAGTGCAGCTACCATAGCAACAGCATAACCATTTTGGTGCAAACCCCCATTGTAATGTTCAGCGTGCGTAAAGTGACTTGTTCTAGTACAGTTGACTTGAATTTGAAACCTTTGCTGCCACGAGACAGCGTAGAAAGGCCTTACACGTGAGAATCAGACACTAATGACCTCTGTGTTTTCTAAATCTCATACGATCACCAAATATCTTGGTTAGTAAAGCTAATAACATTTTAATCATATCCACTGGTCTTCCTGGAAATTACATCTTAAGTGTCCATCCCTTCCTTTATTATAGCTTTGTTTATGGACCAGCACACAGGAAGCCCATTATTTATTTTTTTCCAGAACAACACATAGGCATTTAGTATGACTTGTTCTGCTCGTTCTAGGAAAAGTATTGTTACAACCCATGAACGCTCAGGAGGCTGACTAGAGGAATGACTCACTCCTGCCTCCAGCATACCTGAACATGACATGACGTACCCCGCTTTCTGGAATTTCAGTGCAAAGCAGATTAGTAGCTCCAGTATCACATATACAGAATTAAGGATCTAAACGTCAAAAGGATTAAACCATTTTGAGTTTTACAGAACAAAAGCAACCATATGCATGAACACACAAAATCCTGGCAAAAAAGAATTACTATTCTATAATTGAGGAATAAAATGCAAGGGAACTGGCTCAGAGGTAAACAGAGACTGCCTTATGTTGCCCAGGTTTCAGAAAGCCAAGCAACAGGCATGCTCCCGATACAAAACAGCATCTTCCCACACTTCAGTTATTGAGAGATCCCTCCTGAGGAATGAGGAAGATCATTATACAAAACTTTGATGACCTTTTGGACTGAAGGTACCTTTTATTATAAATTGCAAAGTACTTTCCAGGACTAGTGACACAAGTTGTTTTAGGAAGTCTCAACTGTGGGTGTGACTTTTTACGAGAAACACACTCCAGGATATACTTTATGTGCTCTTTACGTTGTCTGCAGCTTCAAGTTTTCTAGTCACAGGGTTATTTATAGGCTAGAATGTTTTAAGGCTGCAAGAGACCTTTACAATAATCTAGCCTGACCTTCTTCATCAGATCTTCCATAGAAAGCTGTTATTTTTTTGCATAAACCCTGTAATGTGTGAGCCCTACAGTGTATATTCTAGGAGGATGTCTAGTTACTGGAGTATGTATACTGTCCATTATAGAAACTATAGAGGAATAATCTGCTAATTCCTCTTGTGCTGTGCTTTTGGCTTCTCATGGTGATTTGCAGACTTTTAACATTGCAGCTGCCTTGAAAGCATTTTAAAGTGGGTTGTAGGATGGTCAAATTTATACAAACCCGTAACAGTATTAAAGAAGCACAAACTAGGATATTAAGTTATCTTTGCATGCATCTTCATCTGAACAGTGTTTTCTGTTCAAATGTTCAGAAATACTTGAATATATCTGAATTTAATTTCTTCATTTGGCAGTCATGTCACACAGAAAGAGAGTTCAGTATAGAATAATTGTACCTCTTTTTTTTGTAAAATGATGTCATTTATATTGCAAAGATTCAGAATCCCAAATGTTAAAACTATATTTGAACTGTGATAATTAGAAAAAACAATCCCGAATTTTTATTAAGAGATTAGAATGTTGCAGTTGATAATAACCTGAATAAGACTTGAGTGAATCTCTTCAAAACAATTATGTTTGATGGAAGAGTTGGCAAATTTAAAATGCAGCCCTACAGACCCATCTATACCATTTTCAAACATAGACAATTTATCTTTTAATTAAGACTTTTCATTAATCCTATTTTCTCCAACTAATTATATGAGCCAATTTCATAGGGCTATACCTCATGCCCCAAAAGAATTAGAGAAAATGTAGATATATATACAAGAGGCCAGTCTGACCTCTATATAAACTAGATGGATGACAAACAGCAGAGTGACATTTTTCACATAGGATTTAATTTTTAATTCAAGATCATATTTGAAACTCAGAAAAATCTTCAACAGGCACTAATTTGACATGATGCCCAGCTGATACAGCAGTTGGAGATTTAGCCTTTCCTTGTACAGCTTAAGATATGCTCTGACAGAAATAGAACAAGCAATACCACTGCTGAAACAGCAACAGTCTTCATTATAAATTAAACACATCAATATTGTAATGTGTATTCTTCTGTTCCCTTTTTCCTTAGGCATGTTGTCTGTACTATATATCCAGGTAAAGCATGGCTCGCCTTTCTGAAACAGAAATGTTTTAAGTAAATAGAATTTTTTTGTTGTTTTTAAATCTACATGCTGAATTCCCAACATTCCCCTAACCTAGAACTAATTCACTCTGCACTTCACAAAGATTATTAATTCATTTCAGAATTCTAAGATACATGAAGTAATCAGGTAAAAGAGCATGTCATTGACTGTTTGATTTTTTTTTCCTCTCCTGGTTTGTCTTTAAGACAAACTCATAATTATTTATGGCACGATGCCATTTTTATGGCATTGCTGTAAATCTTGATACTAGCAAGTGTTTATTCTTGAGACTCCTTTCCTGTCCTCCTTTTTATCTTCTTACATATTTTTACCTTCTGCTCAATTTTCTTTCATCTTCATCTAGTCTTAATTACAATCATAACTATGTCAAAATGGTTTGGAAATTATGAAAATAAAATGACACTGATGCACCAATGTTGATCATAAGACAAAAAACTTTCCCAAATCACAGTAACCTACTACCTGCAACCCAGTCTTCAAGCTGAGCAACAATTCAGGCACTAATACTTAAACTCTGGAAAAACATTTAAAACACACATTTAAACTCATCCTTATTCAGGAGAACACAATAGTCATGTTTAATTTTACACTAGTACTTGAAAACATTCCTAAATTTAAATCACATTCTGCTTGGTCTCGGCAATAGCCTCTCCCATGTACGTGAACTACAGTGACAAGACCACTGGTGACAGAACAGAGATTCTCAGCTGGGTTATGGTACTGTGACTGCCAAAGGTACAGTGAAGAGATGACAACAATAGTGGAAAAATAATCGTATTTGAAAACGTGTTCATGATTTTGCCCTCAGAGTAGACAAGGACAAAGATGATTCGACCATGTTAGTTAACTGTGATTAAGCCCCATTTAAAACTGTGCTTACTAAAGTATGTGTTTTGATGCCTTTGTTGCTATGGAAAAGATCACAAACTATTGTGAAATACAGTGAGAAGCAAGAGCAAAGCATTACTTGCCTACATCTGTATCAGTCTGTGTGCTTTGAGGGAGACCGCAGGTTGCCGTTTGTGAAGGCTATCGGAGACCATGCTGCAGTGCTCTTTCTGCAGGCAGAATGTATTTAATGGGAGTTTGTAGCAATCTCTACAGATGGTCTTTCTGCTGCGCCCCCCTTCTCAGAACCACAATCCTGCCGTATGTCCATAAATGAGAAACCACCACATGGGATTATTTTTGATTTACAGCTCTGGAGCAAGGAGAGGAATCTGTTCTGTTACTCAGCTAACTATTGCACAACACCAGCAAGCAAAATGTTCCTTTAAGTGCAAAATATATAGTCCCACTGGTGTCAACATGTAAGGCTGAGGGACGTTGGGTAAAACCTCTCTTTGTTTTCCAGACTTCTGAATTACTGACGTATAATTAAATATCTTCACTCTTCTAAATCAGTTTGGTACTATCAATAATAGTAATGTAACTTGACTGATGAGATAGCACCTAAAATATTTTCCTTTATGAAAAATATTTTAAACACATACCATAAATATCACTGTTTATCTTTAATCCTTAAAGATTACCAAATTATTTGCTTAGTAACTCATTTATTTTCTGGTTTTGGTTTTTGTTTTTTTTTTTAGATTAAGTTGCAGAAGTAATTCAGCAGTGATTCAGCCTTGATGGAACCATTGAAGGTGTGCATGTGACTGATCAGGTGCAAAAGAGCATTAACTACATTTGAACTCCATCAGCTGACAAGGACTTGTTTACCTCACCTTACATTTCTTTCCTATTACCTGTAATAAAAGATATTTCATCAGCTTCACCTGTTGTGTTCAACAGATGTACCTACAAAAGTCTGGTGACCTTTCATAAAAAAGGTTTCTTTAACTGAGTCTTAGTAGCAATTAAAGCAGTCATGGAAAATAGTTCCAGTGCAACAACCACTGTGACTGTGAAAACTACATCACAGATTTCAGTGGTTTCACACAGATTTTCAATCAAACTTGCTCAGTTTACAAATAAAATTACATTTAAATATATTCTAGACTTAAAAATGCACCCCAGAATCTGAAAGATTAACTCCTGCTGTTACTGGTAATATTAATTTAAATGAGATGCAGAAAAGCTGAGAAGCAATTGAAGAATGTATTGGTATATTTATACATAAGTATCAATATTAGATTACCAAAATGACTGATAACGATGCACAAGTACAAACCAGCCAGATTTTTCAGATTTCTGTATCAGTTTAATTTGTGTAAACATGACAAACAAATTTGCCCTTCTTTAGAAGGACAAACCCTCCAAGGTGCTCACAAGACAAATAGATATGATGTATAAAAATGGCACAAAGAACACTGAGGTCAAAAAGAGGAAAGTATCAAGGTGCTAGGTATGAGACAGAGGAAAAAGCCTTATAAATTAGATCAGATAGCTAGATGAGTTTTGCAGAAACAGAGGATGTATTCTTCCTAAAAAAACCTCCATGATTTAAAAGGCATTCAAATTACATCCAAAACTGAAAGTGTTGATTGCCAGTCTCTTCCTGTTTACTGAGGAGACATAATTTGTTCCTGTTCAAATCAAGTTTACCCTAGTGATTTTCCTTAGATAAATATTTGTAAAAAATGAATTTCTGTCTCCTTTCCTTGTGATAGCATTAGATGATGGTAAATTACATATAAACAGATCAGCATGGAAAAAAAAAAAAGCTTCAAAATCATCAGTAGACATATTTAGTTAAATGAATATATAGATGAGTTACTTAATTTAACTCAAATTCTCCTAAGTAGGGAACAAATCCAAGGCTAAAAATTACCTGTTGGTCTCCTACATGGGAGTACAGAAAAAATCCATTACCTAGATGGCACAACTGTCAGCCCCAAAATACAAACCATACAGGTACCTTGTAGAGATCAAGGTCAAGAAAGCCTATATTATTGTAGCTATAAATACAGGTATCTGCTGTTTATTCTTGTTTTTCAGTATCCTTATTTTTGTAGTTGGGGTTCTCAGGTATGCAAGATGCCTATAACTCTAAACAACAAAAGTTTGTGACAAGCCTGGCCTGGGTGATATCACAAAGTTTATTGTATATAAATAAAAGTCAACTTATTATCTAATTGCAATAATTTCAAATCCCTTCTGGTTTATGGAGTTCCTACAATTACAACTTAAAAATCTACAGTTATCCTTAATATAGGATTGAGACTTGCATTTACAGAATAATTTAAAAGATTGAGTGAGTTACCAATACCGTCACACAGACCCAGGCTTTGAAAAAAACTAGATGTGATAGATCTATGTCTTTTGCACAAATAAAGCACGGGAAACAAAGCTGATATGCATGGCATCTCAGAAAAAGTAGTTACTAATTAAAAGAATGAGACAGAAGACTTGGAGTTGGTGGTGGAGATTTTTGGGTTTTGTAACTGTATTTATCATGTGCATTGGAGAGCAAATTAGAGCAGGTCCTACAGCCAGGCTTTTTTTTGCTGCCACTGAGGCTTGAAAGGGGAAAAGTATCCAAAAATTGCTTCAGGACATGGATGAGGAAACTTCTGATCAAAGTCTCTGATAAAATTACGGAGGCTTGGATGGCTTTCTTGGGTTTCCAAATCACTTAATAGGTATGTTTTCAGTCAGGTAACTGGGAGTTACTGTATTTTTAATATAATTCCTACTTCAAGAAATGTGATAGAGGCAGGACAGGGGGCTTGGCCTATATAACAACTGGCACAGATGAAAGCCAGACAGATGGCATTAGTCTAAAAGAGTTCCCTTGCCCAAAACATAGCACCTATGTCCTTGGCAGATTCTAAAACCAGCAGAGAATCTCTCTCCCCTTTACCATTATCATACAGCTGATTTTTTTACATATCTGCAGCCCTGTTCCCTGCCCTTGTAGCTTTGTAGTAATTTAACAAATTGTTCATATGAGAAAAGCATTTATTCTACTAACAAGCCCCAAAAAGGCAAAAAATTTCTTTGGTGTGTTGTGGTTTTTTTTTTCAGGTACCTCAATTTTGTAACATGGCTGAAATAATGTTCATCAATTCCTGTAGCTATTTTGGGATTACCAATTTTAAAACAATACAACTTAATACTTGAGTAAGCAATGTAATATAAAGATCTATTTTTGATCAGAACAGCAGATTATATTCCAAAAAATAAAAGTTAGATGTGCAAGTCGTGCATATACAATTGTTTGAACAAATGAACTATGTGTGCTACTTCTACCAGGAGGAAATATTTCCAAGCACCTCACTCAGCCTAATGTCATTATTAGACTCTTCACACACATTAAGAGCTATATAATACACAAACAATATAAGAAATCTACATTTGGTCAGTGCTCTGTTCACAATTTATTATAAACTGTATTACTTAAGTCTGATCCTCATCACCAGAGAACTCAAACTTTGATGATAATGCAAACAATCTGGGGCTTTGGCTAGTGTGAAAACCTAAAAAAAGGAAATATAAAAATGTAGAAAGAGAATCTATGACAAAATTACATTGATCCCTCAAGTCTCCTGGCTGGTTCTAGATTTGCCATTACTTCCATCACTACATTATGTGAGCCAAATTTCCTTCTCTGATACACAACTGCACAACTACTACCCAAATTCAAAGTTTCAGTGTATTCCATGAAGATAAGTTGGTCTTATGTCAGCATCTACTGCTTGTAAAGTATCTTCCATCTCCAGCCAGCACATTATTCAACAGCCACAACAGAGCTGCACGGTGCTGATGAGAGGGAAGTAATGTGTTCCACCGAAAACCAGACAAGGAAATGCCTAAAACTGCAAACTGACTGAAAGAGTAAAAGGAATTGAGTCAGCGTTCTGGGGAAAGGAAGGAATAGGGAGGGGTGGAACAAGCAGTATATTCTTCCAGAAAAAAAGTATGTTCAGAGAAGATAACATATGAAAAAGATAAGTGCTACTAGTATGCCATAAATAATATAAAATTCACGTAATGCACCATTAAAGTTTATGGATCAAATCCTCTTT